GACAATCAATGGACAATCTGAACGGCAATCGTTTTTATGATGAGAATAATCGCTATCATTACACTCAGAAAGTACTTGTGACGACAATATCAATCAAATAATTACGATGAATTATCAAAACACTAGACCATTATCAGAACACCGGACACTCTTCAAGGTCACGAGTCCTCATAATGTCACATAATAAAAAGGCGGCCAGTTGCCGGGAATTTACAATGCTACATCACGGCCAGTGTCAAGCACTTGTCGACACTCATCAAAAAATGAGGCTTCAGAAGAAAAAATGTTAGCGTTTTTAAGAGATGCGTTCCGAATGGTAACAGGTTCCACTCGATGGACTCTGACCCCCGTCGAGATAGCGTTGAGGATAAAATGATATACGTCTTCCAGATTCCGGAGACATCCCTCGAATCCCCTGACGGGCTTGCAAATTTTGGTATGCTGTGTATCAAGACCCTGAATCATCTAACCTGAATATAAGCACTTCCCATGGTTCCAGGTCAGCGAGGTATGATCTCGTTCCCAAAAATGCGCACGACGAAAATGCAGAAAATATTCGCCCCGCGACCGGTTCTTGGACATCACGCGTCGCGTTATCTGGTCTAGCGGCTTTGAGTTTGGAGGTGTGAAGATTCATATGACACATGCCATCGATTCATGTGACCTCTCGAACGGCATCTGAGGCGAAAGTCACGCCCGTTCAACTTTTCAATCTGGGTCAGAATGGCCCTCGGGACCGATGTATCACCAATCGCCTGGCATGTATCATGATGCCATACGCTCTGGCATATCATACGCCCATTTACGGCCAAGGACATGTCAGGTCGAGTTGTGAAAATCGCCTCGGGGAAGCCAGTCAAGCCTGTATGGTGCATTGTTGATTCGCGTAAATAATTTGGGTAATGTATTCACAGTAATAAATTCATTTCTGCACAATGCTGTACGCTGTCGTTGGTTGTGTTCATGTCGTGAAAAGCTGGCTTGAAGAACGCCGCTGATCATCAGTTGTCTTAAAGCGCTATGCGGCTTTTCCAAGTATCTACCTTGGAGGGTGTCCCTGACTCCCTGATACCAGCCCTGCCGATCTAGCCCTGCCTGGTATCAGGTTTTTACCAGCCCTGCCGATCTAGGGAACTTGTGTGTGGATACCTGCACTGTAATTTCGGAGATGAACGGGGGACGTTGGAGGGACACATGTCAAGGATTCATCCGGAGCTTCCTGCTGCTGAGAGAAACAGCGGCTTTGAGGCAAGAGGCATTGCAACTCAGACTTCGAGCACTGATCGGTGCGCAAGCGTGAGGTAAAACACTTAACTGTCATCATATTGCACACAAAGCTAAATGAAGGCGTTACAGGCGTTTAAGAAATGTCTGCTTCTGTTGATTCCGATACTGAAAGGGTTTCGCACTTATTAATTGGGATCATGTTAGGGAGTACGATTTCTGCACCCGTAAGGATTATGCGAGGATAGTGAAGGTCGCCAACGCTTCCAGCTGATTGTATGATGACATCAGAAAACCAAGTGATATTGTTTTCAGGTGCTTGTAAAACCATGCTATCGGTAAATGAAAGGTTACAGGGATGCAGTTTTGCAAAATACGTAGGGGTGAGGGAGGGGGGGGGGGGGCGCAAGACGGAAAATGTCTGGGCCTGCCACAGAAATGCACTAAAAACAATCCTCTCCACTTCTTACGGACCTTCCTTTTATAGATGGGTGCATTGGTGTAGTTTCTCAAACTTAGTTTTTGGGGCTGAACCCGACTTATACATAAAAATAGGAAAATGCATACCTGGTACAATAAGGAGGCACAATCCCCCCAAAAATGAACAGGAAAACGCACGCCTCTAGGTTGGCTATGTTAAGTATGCTTTTATCTGGTAGTTGTATCCGTAAGTCTCAACCATTATTCAGTGTTGAGGGCCAGCAAATTATGCTTTAGTGCAAATGAACTCCCTTTGGTACTAACCAGCTCCCGGATTCCCACAACGCATTTCTCTTTGTGTTTGTGCTGCATCGCATTAAGTCATAATGCAACGGTTTCTGAAGGGTTGGCTCAAGGTGACAATTGTGATGTTTCACAATTTTGTCATTGACAGAAAAGGCCCTTTTTCGCCCCTGTCCGTAGAAACTGACAGAGGACAGGGCCAAACACGAAGGGAAGGGGGCTGCACTACGGCCGGCGTACAACTGAAGACTGTAGAATACGCTGGTGCGTGCGTGCGTGCATGCGTACATGGGGCAGGTGGCCAGGTGTACGTGATAAGCGTTCATATTTGATATAATGGTGGATGGTTTTATAAATGACTTGGTACGCGGGCCAGCAGATTGCATGAGCTGCTAGTTCCTGCGCAGCCCTGTGATAAATGGCGCACTTGCACTACCAGAAGGAAACATCTCGAAGAGATAAACTCAGAGGACATGTGAGCCACAACGTTCGTTTCATCCGCTGCAATTTCGGGAAGGCTTGCGTTGCTTACACTTACCTATAACGTACCACTGTAAGGCACGTGGCGGAGTTCTTGGTCATGTTTCTTGGCCATGGGTCGCTGTGGCGTATCTTTGTTCACATGCGAGTGATGAAAGGACCTGCCGCACGGCTTGACTAGTCACATTCAATGGACTGGGCCGAGAAAGAATTTGCTTTTTAGTTACGACCCGGATTTTCACCCAAAGGTGTCGATTACTGCAGCACGAAAAGCTTAGAGTCTTTTCAACCGTTAATAGCCTGACCAAATGGCTTGACACAGCCGTGTTCACGGACGTCCGATTGACGAAATGCGTACCAGTGGTAAGAAGCAAAAACTATAATTAGCTTCGACCTGTTGGAGCCATTTGGGGAGATCGCACGTGGACGATGGGTTGGTTGATGCGGCTGACCACCTTGTAACTGTGAGAGACAAAGGTGAATTCTGAGTCCAGGGAATAAACCAGACCACGAATTTAACCAGCGCGCTTGTCAATCCGCAGCTATAAATGTCCGATCCGGACGGCCGTGTCCTCAAGGGCCTTATCTATTGACCTGCGCTGCGCGAGGCTCGACGCCAGTCCGATATGATGGACCACAAAACAGGCCATCAGCGTCCTGCCGCAACGACTGGCCGGCGGCCGTAGGTGCCACTTTGCGGAACATTTTGGCATCAGCGCGCGAAGGCCAGTCGATGTGTGTGTGACGTGTGCGGCGCGTTAATGCACAGATCAAGAGAGGCACAGCAAAAATAAGTGGTTTTGGAGGTCTGGCGGTCACCTTTTTGCAATCGAAAGCCTTTTCCACTGACGGTTATCGTATTGTGCACATCAGGTGCATACGGTACAAACCATTCCAGTGTTTAAGCACAGCACATGAGAAGAATATTCATTTGGGAATTGCAATATTTTTAATGCCGTTAGGAGCAGCAGGAAACGTTGTGGAGCTCTGAATATACAATAGCCATTGTTCTCACATTGCAGAGACTCCAGAGAGGAACGTACAAAACGGCCGACCAAACCTGTTGCTAACCCCATGCTCCGAGCCTGTAGCACCAATCCAAATATTCACCGGTTGATGCCGCTTGGTCGATATCCTATTCTATCCCTTCCAAAACATGACAACCTTGGATCAGGATAAAGCTCGCCAAAAATACAAAAAAAACAAACAAAGGGAAAATAGGTTTGCAGACAACCCCACGCCCCGAGCCTTTGACGCAGGTCAGCATGCAGCATTCATCAATCAGTCCGTCATAGTGGATATCTTGCTGTGTCTAAAATATAAAGAGCTTGAGTCAGGTCAAATGTCACTAAAAACGCCCAAAACCACAAAAATTGACTGTAAGACGACCCCATGCTCCGAGCCTATGGTACCGAACAGCAGAAATCTTTACCAATCCATGCACCATAGCCAATATCCTATCCAATGGAAAACATGATGGCCTTGGATGAGGTCACAGGTCACCAAAAACGGTTAAAACCACCTGATAGTCTACCAGTCGATCGATACATAGGCCTTTCCTACTAAGGCCTTTGTTCTGGAAAAAAACAGGACATTGACTATGATGCATCAATTGATAAAGGTTTTGTACCAACTGATCCCCACGTTTGGAGCACGTGGCTATCTCCAGCTGATTTTCGTGGCTTTGGGCGTTTTTGGTGTCCTTAGAGGTGGCCTAAGGTCATGATGTTCTGGTAAGAATAGGATATCGAATATGACACATCGATTGGTGAAGGTTTGATGTCGACCGGTTCCACAGGCTCCGAACACGGGATTGTTAACAGACTTGGTCGGCCACGCAGGCCCTCCCTCCCCCAGACAAATTTTGAAGACAAAAATATTGCAAGATTACACAGAATGTTGCACGTACCCTCGTTGCAACGCTCCAGAATGTGATGTTCTGAAAAGTGGCGAAATCATTGGTGCATAGGTTCCCCGGTTTCGGCCTCCCTGTACGGCTCACCACGCCACGTGCAACATATTTATTGCTTGAGTGTAACGAGCAAAATTCCGCTCCGGTCTTGTGTTTGGGCTTCCTCAAGAATTTCATGCTCCTTTCACTTACGTATCCCACGACCCGCTTCCGTCCCACTTTGTTGTTCGTTGGAAGTTTGCGGTGCCAGCACTTCGATACATGACTACCCCCTAACTGCGAATCGCGTGCTACAAGCCACATAATTTTGCCCAGCTGTCCGCCCGCAGCCACCGATTCGTCCACGACGCCACGACGACGGCTAATCAGTGATCACTGACCACTTTTGACTGAATCTGCAGGCTTGCTAAATGGTGTTTAAAGATTGTTTAGGTATGAATACACGATGCATGGCTGACCCGTGTTGTGCGTTCCCGTGATACAACGCAGATTACAATGGAATAGTGCCAGACCACAGTTCAATCATGGTCCCGCGAGGCAGCGCAGGGTTAAACCGGACCGGCAAACAATGACTGACGCACGTTGAACTCAAAATCACGCGTCTCGGCAGTGAGCTGAAGAAATCCAAAGGAGGCACGGCTCCGAGTCGATGACAGCCAAGGACGAGACACGTGCTCCGGCACGAGTGTATTCCGCAGTGTTGTACACACCGTACAGGCTCGTCGTCCATCAACGTCACACAGGTGTCCACTGCACCTGAATCACAGTCAAACACAATGACGGACAAGGATCCTGCGCTCCACAGAGTCGCTGCGCACGCGCGCAAACGTCCATCAGACATGCTGGTGAAGTTTAAAATACAATCGCAGCAGCGTCCGCATTTTGTACCTAGTATTTCGACTTCTTCTTCCGTTTCAATAATGAATCCCGCAACGATTTCTGAAAGAGAGAAAAAGAACATTACATTGCAGCAAGCTCCGTAGTTGACCTATGCACCAACAGTGGAGTTCGACATAATGAAGAAAAACGCCAGAAACACAATAACGCTAAAATGGCTATTTATGACATTATGGCATTGGCTAGCGAGACTTATAATCGCACGAGCACCGTCATTGAAGTTCTCTGAACATAATGCCTCCCCTCTAACCAATGAACACGAGTTAGGTGATCGAAATCGAGTTAATCACTGACAGATGACGCTATCGAGATGCAAGTTGGCGTTCCGAGAAAGACCAATTACAACCGGCGTGCCCAGCCAGCCGAGGAGCCACTCGTACACCCGGCCTCTTATCACGAATCAAGAAGCCTGATCAAAGTCAGTGCAAGATGACACGGACTAAGCCCCCGCCCCCTTCCCCTCCGCCTCCCGGGCGGGCGTCACGTCAACATCCAGCGACAGGGGGAAGCAGAGCACTCGGCGGCGACCATCCAGGTAAAGGTCCCCCCAGCATTGTTGAAACTCACGGTGAACAACGACAATAGGTACCGCAACGATAGTACCCCAGCCCCCCCCCCCCCCCCCCCCTGTTGTCCTTTTCTTCTGTGTCAGCAACACCGTGCGGCTACAAAATAGTTCCCGGTTCTTTGGTCTACCCATTTTCGTCGTTGACTTCGGACCGACTTGGCCCGTTTCGAAGTTCCTACTCGGGGGTAATCCACTGCTCCGGTGATTGCTGTCTGCGGACACCGAGGCCATCGACCTCTCCAGACAACGGGAACGATATTACAACAGCGACATAAAAAATCCTCAGCCGGCCACGTATTCTCCCACGCCAGAAGCCCTTTCCTGAAATCAGCGCATCGCGTTATCTCACGTTACCTAGGAAGGCAGCCATCTCTGATAACCATGCCGAGGGTGTAAAGCTCGCGTCTGGGACAGGACACCGCGCCGTGGCGGCCTGGCAGCTGTACGCTGATCCTGCATCGTAGTGAGCGGCCGACGCCATGTCCGACCTATTTATATGGAATGTACTATGATGTGAATTATCTGGCTCAGCGTCTAACAAAATTACTCCATATCTACCTGGAAGGATGCGAGTCTGAACGAGCGGCGTCATAACGTTCGAGCTCTGCCCACGTCATATATCATGAGCGGGTTCGGCCGAGGAAATATTATTCAACGAATAATAACCTCTCCGTTAATCGACCTGGGAGATTCCCCATTTGCGTTCGGCCGGCCCAGAAACTAGCCGCCCGATCCGTCTCACATGCGTCGTGCACAGCCAAAGGTCATAGCTACGCGTGGCGAGAACAGATTATCCGTCTTGACCACGCTCTGAGAGCTTTTGGGATTCTCCCTCGGTACGGCAAATGTCCCGGATGATTTTCCGTGTTGGCGGTGCCGGACGCCATTCTGTAGATTTTTCCGAGATTATCTGTCCGCCGAACGCGCCCTATACAGTGCACAGACAAATCACGTTATGGCCACCAATCGGAGGACCGCTCGCCAAATGGACCGTCATCAACCGCGAGGACCGTCAGAAAAGGACAAAACACGCTCGCATACCGCACGGCGGACCCGTACGGTCATGCCGTTCCTTTTCGTCCACACTGTCAGGAAGCATCACAGCTTTGTGAGGGGAATGCTCCGGTTCCATTGCGTCACACAGCGAGTGATGACCTGATTCACCCGCTCCGCTCCGCCGGGCCGTCTACAGCGGCCGTCGCCAGCCGGGCCGCTGCCCATTGGCTGGCCATTTCGAGTTACGTGATAGCCTTTAATTCCCTCCTTAGTCTCACCGCACGGAACAATGCGGCAGCAAAACACCAATCGAGTGAAAAAAACTGAGGTGCTTTAGGGCTAATAAGGCTAGGACTGTCATCACCCCTCCGAGCCCTGCAGCGAGCCCTTATCTTAGTTCAAAACTTTACACAAAGGTGAACGTTCCATTTTGGAGTTGTTCAAGCAGGAAATCAAAACATCTATGTCGGAAGTCGTCATAAATCAAGATCCGGGTCATGACGCGCAACAAGTGTTGCCTCATAACTCCCGGCAACAGTCATACAAAGACGCGGTCCGGACGCCCAGGTGTCAATGAGCAACAACACAGCTATGATGCACACACAGTGAAGAGCTGCTGAGCGAAGCATCGTATGGGCAAAAAGACGGCACAGCTGCAGGACGGATCGAGGACCACCATGCTGCGCCCTGTCCGCAGGCGATGGGCGGCGACAAGCGGAAATCAGCGGCAAGTCCCCCGATTGCGGACAATAGGTGCCTGTATTAGTACCCGTATGGTACCCATATGTACCTGTATGGTACGGCTGACTGATGGGCCAAGCACGAGCCATCGCAAAGCAGCGAGCGGCATACCTGTTTTTCCCTGAACGACTTCTTGGTTTTGTTTTTTAACTTGTGTCTCAGCATCATGAAGTTCTTGGTTTTCTTCTTCTCTTTGTTGGTGGTGCTGGCGTTGGGATTGACCCTGCCCTTCGGCCGGCCGAACTTGGTCTCCTCCCGGTCCGGCTTGCCCGCCTGGAACACCGCCGTGTCCAATCACAGAGCCCGACTACGAATTCAACATCACGCAGGCACATCCGACAAGATAGTATCGCAGTAGCAGCGTGAGGCGGCAAACAAACACATGTGGCGTGAACAATGCGCCGCTGAATACAGTACACGTGGCCAGTAATGCGTCGTACACGTGGCCTTTGCACTTATCCCGTGCAAATGACAAAACCAGCCACCACAATGTAACGCGCAAGAACGCCACAAAGCGGTGTGAGCATGCCAGCAATGTTCGCTGGCCTGTGCCAGCGCCGATCCTCTGCACCGAGGCGGCCACCACACCTGAGCGGTGAGCAGTCGCGTCTCCTTGTCCGCCTTCGGCTTCTTGTGGATCCTCTCGATGTTCCTCAGGGTCACGATCTCACCCCTGCACCAACCACCTCGGTTACACTACACATCGTGCACGACTGAGAGACTAGTACAAGGGCTAAGACAACACCACGCCAATCCGCCGCTAGTCAGTATATAAATTCCACGGCGGTGTACAATGCTATGTTACCCACGTGACAGCGTCGATCCTCCCACCTCTGAACATCCGCTTATTTCACCACCGCGTCGCCCTGTGATCTCCCCATACTCTGACCTCTCCTCCTGGGCCAGCTCCTCGGCCTTGCGCTTGCCGCCCCTGCGCAGCGGGTCCAGCTGCTTGGCAATCTGTGCCTTCTCGATGCGCCGGAAGTCGGCGTCGGTGAGCAGGCGGGACGCGACCACGGCCGAGGCTCGCGTCGCCTTCTCCTGCCGCGAGAGCGCGCTGGAGGCCGACGAGGCGCGCCCGCCCGACGCTACAGACTGCGGACACGGCAGCCCGGCTGTTACGACGTGAGGTTATTGGGCGCCGCGACCGGGCGGTCATATAGCGCTCATAACGTTGCGTCACGCAGGGAAGGGCGGAGAGGCAGCGCAGGACGGAGGCCACGCGAGGTGCACGGATCACACAGAATCGGTGCGGGTCAGGAAGACAGTCAGAGGGGCGGTGTATAGTCACGGACGCCGCGCGCGGCACGGATAGCTCGCGCACACCACGCAGGTCCTACCGGCGAAACCAGTCACAGGTCACACAGGCCACCAAGGTCACAGGGTCACTACATGTCAGGCAACACGTGGGATGCCCTCACAGTGTAGTAGACAGCAGGGGTCACACAAAGCTGCGCCATTAAAGGACAGGCAACCAGGCCAACCAGGCCAGGCGTCGTAGGCAACCAGGCCAACGACGTCGGTAGCTTTACACCTCCAACCATCCGTGTGACTCGACTCAGCGCGTCTGACGGCCACCGACACGGTACACTACGTGCATCGCGGACAAGAGCGTAATTATAGTGCTGGAGACCGCTTTTCGTAGATGTAAAAATAATCATAACAAGATACCAACCGTTACACAACGCCACTGAAGATGCCAATGCCGTACGGGTCACACCGACTATCGTCGTCGACGTTATTGGGCTTAACGACACACTACTGCTGAGGCTATATGGCGTCGCCTGCCTCTCACCCTGGCAGGAAGGGCGGTACCACGCGCATCCCACACACTAATCGACCATGTCAACGTTACTTGCATCAGACTGGTACAACGCTGGGTGCCTAATGACTGCTGGTACATCCTCGGTAGATAGTCAATACCTTGCTGTCACCCGCTGATGACGTCCTGGATCGCTGCCCCGGGGCAGACTCCGTCTCATCAGCGTCCTCGTCGCCGGTCTCTTCCTCCTCCTCTTCGTCATCATCCTCCTCCTCGCCCCCGGCCTCGTCGGACTCCTCGTCCGACTCCGGCTCCTCGTCGGCAGCGTGCTCTTCACCCAACTCGGCGGCAGCCTCTTCAGCCTCGTCTTCCTCTGGCTCAACGTCCGAGACGTTCACCCAGCCGTCCGAGTCCTGGAGCAGCGCAAGCGCAGTTGGGGCGCGGTTCGAGTGACGTCCCGCCGCCACCGTCGCGAGCAAACACCACACCCTGGGGGACCCAACCGGGGTCGGGGCACACCGCCCCGGCGCCCGGGGAAGGCGGTACTACGGCGCCATGCCAGACACTACACAGCCATGCTCCTGTGACGTCCGGTCCGAGACCGCCGGCGCGGCCAAAATAACCCAGGCACGGGCCAGGTAACCTTTCACTGATCCGTCCAGTCCTCACACCATCTTCATCGCGTCAACTCAAGCCTATGAACCACGACACACCTCGCCCCACCAGCCCATCAGCCCAACACGTAATAACCTTCCCACGACCCTTCAAACCCGACCCTCTTGACCCAGCAAGAGCCCGGCTGACTTCTCTGACCCCAGCATGAACACAGCTGACCCCCTCCCTGACCCCGGCAGGAGCCCGGCCGACCACCTGACCCGGCAAAAGCCCAGCCGACGCCAGCTGGCCCCAGCTGACCTCGTCCTCCTGGCCGCGGCCGTCGTCGGCGGTCGGCTGCTCCGGGATCCAGCACCTCGGCACCAGGGATGTAGTCCCGCGCGCTCACAGCGCCGTACGCCGGCCGCTCCAGCTCGCCAGTGGCCTCTGTTGGCCGGCCCTGCAAACACCCCCGCCGTCGTCACCCGGCGGCTGTTCGACGTGGCACACGCGGAGGAGGGGCCCGCTCTCGCTCTCGGTGACGGCCCCCATGCTCGGTGCTCCAGGCCGTCGCGGGATATAACCAATAGCTCTGTGGCTATAACCGAGGCTTGGCTATAGCCGCCGAGTCGGCGGAGGCGGGGTGAGCGGCTTAGACGAGCTTGCGGGCCTTCCGCCACGGACGCTTACATAACAGGCGCTGTTTGGTGGCAGACCACGTTCCGTTACGAGGCATCCGTTTGCACGCTTGTCTTAGCAGTTTGCAGGAGGCAAGCATAACATGGGGCACTGGGGGAATGGTATTGATGGCTTGCACCCATCCGGAGTCAAGACCTGATGCCGCGAAGTGCTCCGGGTAGCGACCAAACCACTGATGTAGCCGGTACACAACACCCAAGATAAGAGCCACGATATGAGCACGATCTCCGACGCTCGCAAGCCACTCTCGTCAATCTGACGAATGGCTCCCACGCAGCAGCGGTATTGTGTGCGACGTACAGCCACACGGCCATCAGCGACACCCACGCCGCGCGCGGCGCTCGCACAAACGTCTGGTTCATGTTCGCACACAGCGAGGACAAGGCGGCCACCTTCCCCGCCCGCGGAGCGCGCGCGAGGTAGCAGCGGGGCTGCCACAGGCAGCGTGAGAGTGGCAGTCCGCTACGCACCCTGTCCTTCCTGTGCAGCAGCTCGGGGTGCGTGTGTCGGTAGTGCTGGATGAGCGAGCGAGCTGCCATCATGACGTTCTTGTCACGGTACTTCTTGTACTGGGCCAGGTCCTGCAGCAGGTCCTCCCCCATCGCCAGCGGACAGCGCATGCAGACCTCGCGGATGGCGTTGATCCTGAGGACGGTCGTCGGTGGGAGACATGCTTGCCGGCAGACGCCGGGACGTAGCTGTTTAAAGGAAACATGGAGTGAAAATGAAACTTTATTTGAGATCTTCCACGCAGTTCCATGCGCCAAGATGAAACAAGAAAACGACCATACGTCAGCTTGGCGCGTCACCTAAACCTGATTCCAGCACAACTATAACTGCACCGAAACTATGCTCATGATAAATTTTACAAATAAAATGCATTCCAAGTATTCACAAATGATACCAAAAAATCGCACTCAAGCACCATCCACCCATCAACGACATTACAACTCGCCAACTTCATCCTCAGCATCTGCACAGCTCACAAACAGACAACGTTCACCCGTGCCGGTAACGCAGCCAGGAGGGAGACCAGCCGGGGGCGGCGGACCCGCCGTGGCGGCCCCTGACGCCTGACCCCCGGCCGGGCGGCGGGCTACTCACCCCACCGTGATGACCTCGGACGAGTTGCGCTCTGTGACGAAGTTGTTGGCGATCGTCATCAGCATAGGCTGCACCACGTCCGGCGGCACCAGCACGTGAGACGCCTGCCGGGCGGGGCGAGGGGGACGTCAGGTGCCAGCGCATGACGGACGCAGGGGCGAGGGGAGGGGGACCGTCAGGTGCCGCGGCAGATGGACGCGGGGTCGGGGGAGGAGGGGACGGTCAGGTGCCGCGCAGCATGGACGCGGGCGGGGGGAGGAGGGGACGTCAGGTGCCGCGCAGAATGGACGGCGGGGCGGGGGGAAGGAAGGGGACGTCAGGTTCCGCGCAGGATGGACAGCGGGCGGGAGGAGGAGGGGCGTCAGGTGCCGCGCAGAACGGGACGCGGGAGCGGGGAAGGAGGGGACGTCAGGTGCCGCGCAGATGGACGCGGGGCCGAGGGGGAGGAGAGGGACGTCAGGTGCCGCGCGACGGTAGGGGCGGGGAAGAGGGGGACGTCAGAGCCGGCAGACGGACGCACGGACGCGGGAGGGAGGAGGGGGACGTCAGGTGCCGCGCAGACGGACGCGGGGATCCGGCGACGCGCGAGGGTCGGCGCAGAGGAAGCGCGGCACACTCCGTAGCCGGTACGGAGGACGCCAGGACATGCAGGTAGCCCGCGGCTCTGTGACAAGCCCGCGCAAAAGCAGCACATTCACCTGGGACTGGTTCCTGGCTAGCGAAAACGCTAGAACCTGACCCTAGGGTGGCCGACTATGTGGACTGTATGCGTTTGTATTCCAGACCATCCCCGGTTATTGAGACGGCCAGCTGACCACTGGCACGAAATGGTGAGGACAGCATCAGCGGCTGCGTCTAGCCGTGGCACGGCGAGTCGAAACCTTTCAGCCAGATTGACCTTTTGCACTGGAGTGGTGGAGACGGGTCCGCAGCAAGTCATTTCCGCACGGTAATCTGATCCCAAAGACTTGTGTGAACCAAAACATTTGGTCAAGTGCGCAAAAAATCGTTATTGCTTCATCGCGTACATCGCCTATCTGCCTTCGCGAGGCTTATCCAGTCTTGACAAAACCTATCGACAGCAGCATGCCGTTTGCCCGTCTGGAACGTGGGACGCACCAGCGTCGCGCGGCCGTCGGCCGGCCCGGCCGCGCGCCCGCAGCAGCACGTCCCTGCCGTCCGGACCGACCTGGGCGGCGTACTGCAGGATCCTGGTCACGTCTCGCTGGTGTGGCTGCAAGAAGCGCTGCAGGTACGGGTAGAAGTTGAAGAGGAAGAGTTCGTGGATGCCCACCAGACGAGCGATCAGACCCATCATCATCAGCTTCACCTGGCGGCAGCGCGGATCGCGCGTCAACACCGGCTGACAGCAACCCCCTCCCCCACGAGCCGGCACCTGGCGTCGAGGGACGCACGTCGAGCCGCAGCTTCAGACAGCACGCTCCGTCCAGGCGGGCGACGGAGACTCCACGCTCCGGCCCCTGGCGTCGAGGGACGCACGTCCGCCCGCAGTCAGACAGCACACTCCGCGTCCAGGCGGGCGACGGAGACTCCACGCTCCGGCACCTGGCGTCGAGGGACGCACGTCCGAGCCGCAAACACCGCAGACAGCACACTCCCCGTCCAGGCGGGCGACAGACTCCAAGCTCCGGCACCTGGCGTCGAGAGACGCACGTCCGAGCCGCAGCTTCAGACAGCACACTCCCCGTCCATGCGGGCGACAGTGACTCCAAGCTCCAGCACCTGGCGTCGAAGGACGCGCGGCCGAGCCGCAGCGCACAGGCGACACACTCCCCGTCCAGGCGGGCGACAGTGACCCCAAGCTCCGGCACCTGGCGTCGAGGGACGCACGTCCGAGCCGCGGCGCCACAGGCGGCACATTACCCGCCCCGCCGTCCAAGTCCACACCGCTCGTTACGCCGACGTCGCTGCTACGGCCGACGTGACCAGACCTCGCCGCCAGCCCGGCCGCGCTGCGAACCTCGTAGCGCTCGTTGAGCGACTCCATCTTCTTGTAGAGCCGCTCGGCCAGGCCCTGGGCGTCGTTGACTAGGTGCAGCGCCGAGAAGTTGAACGACTCGCCCGTCTTCTTCTTCTTCTTAGATTTCTGGAGAGGGAGTGATGCGGTCAGTTACCGGAGAACAACGGGTGGGAGTGCATCCGCGTCGCTGGCATGCCTAGCGAGCGTGAGAGTGGGAACACCAGCTTGTCGCTGTGAGCGACTGTTCACCTGCAATAGCACTTATACAAAAATGTACAACATTAATCGAATCTTCTCAGTGATGCCTTGATTCTACCTTCGATTATACCTTTACAAATGTATCCGCAACGAAAGCATGCATACCTTTGTCAACGCCTTGGCTTTCTCCAGTGATTTCTTCTTTTTTCTGGTCTTTCTCCCGAAGTTCGACGAAGAAATCACAGCTTTGGCCGCAGTTGTCTCGTCCTGGAACACAACAACGATGATCGGATCACAAATGGCGGGAGGTGATTATAAATCACAGCCGATAGCAATCCTTCAAAAAATGCCCTTCCCACACATCAAGGCGCGTTGGCTGGGCTTTTAGTCGTCCGGAAAATCGTTCAGGAGCGACATCTCCACAGCCAACATGCAGTTGTTTAACATTAGTACACTAGTGAATTACAACCTATAAGCGGAGCTACATTGCCCCAAACTAGTTTCTCAAGTATGCCTCACAAGATATTCCACAGCAAAGCCAGTTCCCGAGCACACAGCCACTGCCATTGTAAACCACACTGGTTCGTGTACATGCTTACCTGATTAGGTAGCTACCGCTCATTAATCATGCTAATCAAACGCGAAATATTGTCTCATTGATTGCATGGCAGAAATGCAGAGGCGTCTCGTTGTAGACGCGCGACAGGTAACCTTCGTGGTAGCATCTAAGCCGTGGAAATCGATAATGACCGTCAAAAAGCCTTAAAATACATTCATAGCGTGTGTATGTCGTTACTTGGATGGTGTCTTCGCCGCATTCACATGGTGAAGGGCTTGTGGTGGCAGCTCAGGTGGATTTACGCGCCAGGTGCCATGCATGCAGTAACATGCAGCAGCAGCCGCATGCCGCAGCAGCAGCACGTGCAGCTATATACATGAACAGAGAATGACAAAATAGGTGCGGCAATAGCCACACTGGCCCAACCGTTTCTGGGACCAAACCGATCGATAAAAAGGCAATCAAATTCCGGCCCACCAAACACATGAGGTTTTGTTCAACCCAACCGACTCTGAGGCCAGACCCCTTGACCTGCACTGGAACGTTCGAGAAGCGCCGTTATATTCAGGGGCCGGGTCAGGTCAAGGCTAGGGGCGCGTGTCCCACGGGCTGCAGAGACCTCTGAGAAGGCGTCACCTGGAAAAGGCACTTTGGGGGAAATGAAAAAGTGAGCTTGCTTGCGTGGAGAAGTGCCGAGTGACGGATATCTGCCGCGGGTGACGGTAGTGGCGATTCCAACATGAGTGGCAGCATGTCATGCGCGTGATAATTTGTAGGAATACGAGATCCCGACAAAACTGGTTAAAATGTGGACGGGAATCTTCAGGCACGTCGTTTCTACGACCCAATGGCATAGCAGTGCCGATAGTGTGGTGGTAATGCATCTGCGTTGACCACTGCGCGTCTGGGAACCCAAAGGTACCGGGTTCGATTCCCCGCAGTGCCCGCCCTTCCTACCAGCATGACAGGTAGGCGACACCATATAACCTCAGCAGCCGAGTCCGTCGTAAAACCACAATGACTTATGAAGGCCCACTGACATAAAACGAAGTGACCGAAATTCGCGGAGAAATCACGTTCTGTGGAAATGTGACGGCTTTCAGCATGACTGTGTCTCCTACAAATTCTACGAAAAGCCGCCACGGCCTCTTTAACCACATCTCAGGTATGTCCCTGGATACCACACCGGCCCTTTAAAGCGATTTAACGGCAGTGTTTACAACGTTCCATCGTCCTTAATACCAGCAAGCATGCAGTGCAGTACCGCAGTAGCAGTCTTCCTGCCTTCTCGGATTAAAACATATTCCACAGCGGTGATTACCTCGGACTCGCTGTCAGAAGACTCCTCATCCTCATCCTTGCCCAGGAAGAACTTCAGCGCCGTCACCATCACCTTGGTGGTTTTAGAGAAGAGTGCCGTTGTGATGACGTTGACGGTTTTCTGGTCGTTCCACACGCCTTTCTTGTAGAGGTCGATCATAACATCCATGGCGATCTTGGCTGCCTTGACGTGGCTGTCACGCAGCATACCGTACATGAAGTTCTGCAGAGTCTGAAACATGACGGATTGACTGGAATATTGTGACATGCTGAACGTGCTTTCACAGGCACGATACAAATGACGCGTTGCCTCGTACAGTACAAAATCATGGCTTACATTCGCACCTCTATCTCTATCAGATAAATACAAGCCAGTAATATAATAAGCAATTTAATGGTCTAATGCTGCAGTCAAGCGACATTGTAGTTGCATAACTGCAACATTAGAATTTCAAGTTTGTGCATGTCATCAAGTACCACATGCGCCGAATTTTGCGACTTTTGCCAGCACAGAGCAAACAGTGAAATGACATCTAGAGCAACCCAGAGTAGGATGGTCGGAAGCCCATGCCTGGACGTACCCCGTTACGAGTGGGGAAAAGGTACACTACAGCAGAATGCTAAGCACCTGCATGGGCAACACAAGATCACCGCGCGGGCGCAAAATGCAAGGGCGCAAAATGACCTAAACAATCGGCGCGACTTAAACCTCCAATCAACAAGACCACCACTAGCAGTATAACCACGTCTACGTCCATCACTAGCCTTGCCGCAATATAAACAGCACAAAAGTCCGTGAAAGGTCACGAGTTTGAAATCCATGTGCGAGACACATGATCACCGCCGCGCAGGTCTCACTGCTACGACCGTCCGCTTAACTGACCGTGTTCAGCTTCATGTTCTTGCGCTTGGCGTTGACATTCTTGATGTCGCTGACGATGTGGCCCTGCAGGAAGTCCCGCAGCCCCTTGTCCTGGCAGCGCAGCAGCTCGAAGAATAGCTCCAGCAGCGCCGTCGGCGCCAGCAGGTTCTTGTTGCGCAGCAGGATGAGCGCCTTGCAGAACGTCTGCGGGTGACGGCGGTGCGCTGCGCGTCAGGTGGGCACCCGTGCCCCGGCCCGGCTGGCTGGCGGGGATCGGCTACAGCGTGCCTTCAGCCGCGCAATTCAGCATTGATCACCAATGTGAAGGAAAGCGAGGAGCGGTGCTGTGCACGAGCCCGCAATCCCGTCACCGCCAGGTTCACGGCAGCGCCAGTGCTATCCGCCGGCCGGAGAGGCTCAAAATTCATTCCAAGCCACCTCTCCAACGGTCGGCATAGTCCGAGACAGCACACCTTTACTGGCTATCTGGCGATGCATGACCTGCTGCCGGGGCCGGGACGGGGCCGGGCAGGACGGCAGCAGGCGAGCCGCCCTGCTGCGACTGAGCGCCACTTACCATCCGCATATCAGCGTCGATGACGGTGCTGTACTGGCGCAGGGTGTCCATCAGCTCCTGGGGGTATGCAGACACTGTCTGCGGGTAGCAGTGGGCCACCTGGAGGACAGCAGGGCCGGCAGTCAGCAACCGCAGCAATATGCTCACAGGACACCAGCACACATACTCTCCATGCATGACACATGATCACAGTGCAGGACACATACTCACAGTTCAAGACACATACCTACAACCCAGGTCACATACTCACAGTCCAAGCCACATACCCACAGTTAGACATGCACTCACAGTTCAGGGCACATGCTCATAGTCCAGGGCAAACACCCACAGTCAAGGACATGTACCCACAGCCAAAGACACCTGCCCACCATCCAGGACACATACTCTGCCAGACCTAAGATCAGATTCCAGATTTGGTGTCCTTCCAGATAACAGGTTGCAATGCTCACTGGTTCCTTGGTGCTGGAGGCAGTCAACTGGCAAGGTAACAATGGGTCTCTGTTCAGTTTCAGAGCCTGACACTTATCATCTGTATAAGAGAGCCTTTGCTTCTCTGGGAATCAATGCATCACAACAATCAAAATATAAAACAGCAAGAGCCTGAAAAACTGTCACAGCTCTTACAACTTGGAAATGCTGATTGTCTATCTGACCTGTAGATGCTAACAGGGTCCATTGAGGAGGCAAATTTGCTGGATGCTGATTAATTCTTGAATATAATACCTTAAATGCTGGGCAAGCAAGGGCATCACCTGACATTAACATGGTGATGGAAGTACAAAGGGTGACCTGTACCATGTGTTTCCTGCAATATTGTACTGTCACCTTTGCATATCCTATTCAAGCTACTTCACCTGCACCATCCCACACCTTCATCCATGAGGCACCTTGAACAAGCGTCAATAAAAATTGCTACTGAACTTGCCTGTGCCACAAACATTGTGAGCTCATCCAAGTTCTGGCTGTACTGGTCAGGCTGCAGCCGGAAGACTTGCAGGGTTGACTGGTAGTGCCGCCACTGCTGAGCAAACTGTTGGAGAAAAAGTGGAGCCATACATGCTGCCATCAAACCATCTCTGTAATGCAAAATGGAAGCATTCAAAGTGGCATGGTTGTGGTTGGACTGTAAAACAGCATATGTGCTGAACATGCCTGCCATGGCAGTGATGCCTAAACAATTTCAGCTAATGAACACTGCAAATCTGAGACCCCAGTTTGGTTTATGGTCACCACAAATTTCAGAGTATAACACCAATGTTTCAAGACATTGTGATGCTGCATTTTGTATGACTAAGGTTGTGATACCATTGTGATCTCAGTGCAGCAGAGAAATGTAATGTCCTAATAAGGTATACAGCCAGATCTTCTAGGCGTCTCACAGCTCTAGTAAATCAAGAATATGGTGTTGAAGATCAACATCAACTCAAGACTACAAGGGCATTTAAATGCAATATATACTTACCTCTTCTTGATAGCTTTCATGATCCCTTTTGATCAGGTTCTGCAACTGAGGTAAATTGTTAGGCAGCTGATTGCCCACTCTTTGGGTTTTCGTCATCCTTGAAAAACGTTTAAAACCCAATGACCATTTACTTCCCACGCAAGGCGGGTCCAATATGCAACCGCGCAGACACGGCACCCACGCGGGGAGCTTACGGACCCTAAGCGCTGAAAGCACGGCAGTGCAAAGCCGTACGCCACCAGGCGATTTGTTTACACCCTACGCTAGCGGCTTCGTGACGTCACTGGGAGTCACATCGTCGGCGGCCCATGACAGGCACTGAACGGGCGGCCGAGATATCGGCCGCAGGACGCCTTCGGCTATACTCTTCAATTTAAATACGCACAATATCACGCCATGTGCTGCATACGGATCAAATCTCCAGCATCATCACGGCCGTCATTGTCGCGGCTGTCACCGCCATCAATGCTGCCAGCAGTGACGGCGACGGGGCAGTCGCCATTGTTACTGTCTCATCCGCTGCCGCCACAATACGAGAGCATCACAAGCGGTCAGCAGTCATAAGGACCGGAGAAACCGGCGATTTCCGCAGCACATGAGCTCTCTGGGCAGGCGTACCAGGCAGTCTCACGTCCTAGGGATGCGCGTGACTGCCCCGCCCTCCCCGACTGGTTCCAAAGACTTATCTAAGGCTCTGCGCAACGATGCGCGATGCGACGGTGCCTGAGCGAGTCGGCGCTTGAGTCGTAGTACTTGACAGTGACAGGACTGGAGCTCTGCTGTTGTCTGGTCGCATGCATCCACCGCCAGCTACCAGACGTCAGCGAAAGCCTGGTGGCGTGCCAGCACGGCCGGCTGTAGCCGGTGGCGGCACATTTGGGCGGGCGAGCAGCCGTCTGCACGTTAGGTGTTGCGCAGCTCCAACAGACCGTGCGCTCAGGTCAGGCGGGTTGGTTCAACCTTCGCTCCAGGTTAGATACGGCCACCCGGTCGGCTGTGCACGCCTGCGGGCCACCGGCAACCGGATAAAGCGCCGTTATGGCCACACAACAGGCTCGTCCCCGAACAGCCCGGCGAGTTAGGCTTTTCTGAGCGGTACGCCGGGTCTAGTGATCGAGTGATGACTTACGATCCTCACGGACCTGGGTGCTGTACTCTTCTTCCCCAGCAGCGGCAGATCCGTGATGTACAACGGCAGACCCGAGTGAACCACCCTCCTCTAGTAGCCCAGCACACCCGGGGGTACAGGCACTCATTCTTCAGCAGCAGCTGACCCATGTGACAGGCTGCTACATGCCTGGGAAACACATAGCGGAAGACCCTGGCGATACACACTGGAGATATCGGAAGATCCATGTGATACACTCCTATCCAGCTGCAGCAGATCCAAGCGCCGCACTCTCCTCCTCCAGCTGCGGCAGACCTAGGTGCTGCACTCCAGCAGCGGCAGATACGGACATTGCATCTCGCCTCCGACAGGGGCAGACCCGAGCCGCAATCCAGCAGTGCAGACCTGGGTTCCGCACTCCAGCATTGGAGGCCCCGGGCGCCGCATCTCCAGAAGCAGCAGACCAGACCCTCACAGCTCCCTTTCAGCAGCTTTAGATCCGCTACTGGAGCAGTCAGGGCTAGCCGACTTTCAATTTGAGGACAAAAAGCTCCTTTTCAAAATTTGCAGCTGAATAAAATTTGGAGGCCTTTTTCACTACGTCCACCCATCCGAAACCGATCAGACACTCACATGGCAATCGTTGAAAACAAAAACGGCCGGCTTATTGCAGACATTACGCGACATCAATGAGCGTGTTATCCCAGTGACGTCACTGCCGTTCGTTGCTAGCAAAAAGGGCTTTCTTATGGCTTGCAACACCACTGGCCAAACAACACAACACCTTGGGCCAAACGTGCTAAAGATTGGCTGACGCTCACGCTTGATTTTGTCACAAAAGCGGTATAAATGTGTGGTCCCCAACAGGGATGCTAATAGCAAGGCTATCTAACGCTAATACTATATTATTTTTGGCCCCGTTATCATAAATGTGTGCAGTGTGATGTTAGACCGATAACAGATGATAACAATTGTACAAGCACATCGCTATTGACGATCTCTTTTATTCTTAAAACGCACTTCAATGCGTCACATTTTAGTGAAGTGCCAGGAAATTTATATTCGGAAATTGTAGCACGTCGATATGTGCGTAGGTCTGGATATGTTCTGGAATTTAGCAAATATATTATTTTGTGACAGCATTCATTCGGATTACAAGATTAAAACAGCGGATTCATGGCATCAATCAGGCCACGTTGTCGCAAGGTTTCTCGAGCACATGACCTACATCAGGAGACCTTGAGTGTTGGGTAGGCCGTATGTTCGCATCGTACCTCTTGGCTACAAATTCGTGGCCTCGAGCTACGCCTAGAAACGACTCGATGTCCGTATTCAGTCATCCACTTACCCTGCGGGCGACGTTGTAGGGTGGGTGCGAACAGTGGACGTTATCTCCGCAATACCGTTGAAATTTAGCACAAAACATTTGGAGCTGTCCTCGTACGTTCAACCACCAGACAATAAACTTACTCGTTTATTTATTCCCATCCTCAGCAACCCAAACACAGTCGGGCTGTCCCGATACACGGTGGAAACCGGGGCTATTTCCACCCACGTGTCGTATGCAGAGAGCATGGATGCAAATAAATAAAGGCAAGATCGGGAAACAGCCACAGTCATAACAAGAGCGTAGTTACTATAAGAGAATTTCCCCACATCTGTTTCATGTAACGTATAAAAAGGAGCTGCATAACATCATACTAGGGAAGTTGTTCCAACTGCCAGTGGCACATATGGAACCGAAGAGTACACACCAAAAAATAGCGGTGCCATCCCAACATTCGTGGTCGAGGTGTCTACCGAAATGTCAGAGGGCTTTGCTGGAAATCTCCAGAACACGTTTTGAAGCAGAGCTTTCAAACAGTACAACTCTAAATTTCACAAGGGTTTGAATGATTGAAACATGCGCAGTTTACAAGAAAGCTAGGTTGACGCAAATTTCAGGCTCTAAATGTTGTTCGCGCAGATATTGACATCGTCCTGTTTGCGCGGTGGCTCCTCTTTGCTGGCTACCCAGAATGACTTTGGCGATTTCATATTCGCAGCGAGCAACGAGCCATGGGCCCCCTTCCTCCCCCCAAAAAAGCATACCTGAGATGGGGCCGAGTTCGGATGATTCGAAGCATGAGTTCAGACTAAGTCTCACTGAATCTCGGAGCCTAAACGTTGTATCTAAAGCACCTACCTCACACACAACATTCTGACGACATTCTGACATTCATTCTGACATTATGGTTCATCCGCATGGTGTCAAAAGCACCCTTGACTACACTCCCATGCCTTTGAAAGACCCCAGAAAACGTACATACCAATCAGAATTGGTAGCGGCCACCTCTTCTGATTGGTGGTGCATTTATCAGATCGGGATCTGCATTGCTAACAGGCGAAGGATCTCTCCAGTGACTGGACGTGACGACGGCAGGAATCCCATGGCAGTGTTGTTTAACTATGGTTTCACTGGAATGCCAACGGCGGCTTTCTGCGATCACCGCTTGCATTCGATAAACTTCTCCAGCAATAGCTATTACCGCATAGCTCGTAACCCAAGCAGCGCCTGACGCTCTGCAGACGTGGATGACGGGCCGCGTGGAGGCCCACACTCCGCCCTCGGTCGGCTGCAGCACTCGTCATATCACTCAGCTGGGCCTCTCCCGGGCGCGGTATTACCCGCGCGTAATGTATGCAGGGAACGGCCCGGCCGCGTCCGAGGCCGCGGCGTACCCAGACCTGCACGCCGGGCGTGTGTGACGACAGGGGCGGCGGCGGAAGGCCCGCACATGGAAGCCAGGCTTCTGTTCCGAGGGTGACCGCAAAGCTGACGTCACAGGCCACCTGGCAAGGAGGAAGTGTTGGGTAACTATGTGAGCACGGTGCGAGAACGGACGGTGACGAGTGCGCCACTCCTGACTTCAGGCATTGAGGTCAGGTCATTCAGCATGATTGTACGCTCGGCACGGCTCTCCGGTATTCTGTCAGATAGTTGGCATACACTTACGTTTCGCATGCGATGTAAATATGTTTCCTTTCCATCATCTCTCATCCTCCGACGTTCACGCTCAGTGATAGGGTTTTGTTCCTCTCTTTGGAGTCATAAGTTATCCCCACAAGTCAGACAGCTGGAGAGCTGATAGCTTTTATTGGAAAATGGAATAAAATGTGGATCATTACTTACAAAGAATACGAGTAATAAAACACAGATCTCATACCGATAGTCACTAAAAATTGCATGTGTTGATGTATCGAACAAGTAATCTAATCAGCATGAAACATAATATAACGCACCGGAGGCATTACGCATGTATCCAAACACCCTGCATATTAAACCGAGCGCCGGTCAGGTCTTGCTGCGTGAATACTTGCATGATACACAGCAGTGCCTAAGCATGTACACACGATCATCGCCGCTTAAACAAGAACCATTGCAGAATAAGTGCCAGTAACGACATCGGGTTGAACTGATGCTCGTTTCGGCACATCGTGATACAGCCGCGTTGGATGCCTTAATACCGGTCACAGGTCACGTGGTCACGATGTCTGCTGTATTAATTATGAAACTGATTGATACGCCCCAGGCACGCATACAAACACGACTATGGTATATTCAAAGCGACGCTGAAGACATTCTTAAAACATGGAATACGTGATCCAGCTCACCTTTTGAGGCAAGCCCCGGGGCACTATAAGTATCAAGGAATACGACGGCAATATACTCTGCAACGTCTGCAAACCACCAGAGCCCAGATGTACTTGCACCAATGTACTTGCATCAGCGCAGGCACATTCCGATGTACTTACTGGTCATGCATGGGACTGCGTGACGGTTCGGTTTTTATTGATTTATAGAAAATAATTCAAGCTGAGTGACCATGCTCATTAACCAGGTTATTGATGGTCTTTGCACGAGTTTGCTTTTTGGGAGCCACCAATGATAGCGTCATGCAGTTTCAGCAACATCTAGCATGCTTCTTTTTTAAGTTGCTCTGCAGTGCTTTGGAGGCACTTCCATCCAATTTGTTTCATCATATGTGTCTTTTCCGCAATGCTGTAGTGCGAACGATGTCTTCAAGACATTACCATGAACC